CCAAATGGGTAGTGAGTGTTAACCACCCAGGATAACCCAGGGTAGTGAGTGTTAACCACCCAGGATAACCCAGGGTAGTGAGTGTTAACCACCCAGGATAACCCAGGGTGTGGGGTAGGGGGACCTTTTTTCTGCCATGGGCCATTTGTTTATTTATAACATCATTTCGTCAGACATTTAATTTACTCAGGAGTAATGTGATGGCTGGAACTGCTTCTCTTTGGTTAGGTTTAGTTAGTTTAATATCTTTACTATGTACCCCATACCCATCCTGTGGTCGGTAGTCACCACATACCCATCCTGTGGGCGGTAGTCACCACATACCCATCCTGTGGGCGGTAGTCACCACATACCCATCCTGTGGGTGGTAGTCACCACATAACCATCCTGTGGGCGGTAGTCACCACATAACCATCCTGTGGGCGGTAGTCAAAAGATTACAAAGGTACATAATGGGTCCAGGGACTGGACCCCAAGGTTATGATAGCTGAACTAGTTACAAAGGTAATGAACTCCAGGTAGATCTGGTCACAATCGTGTGTGATGTTAGCCGGTATTGATAATGCTGCTACTCGCAACTGCTTTTCCAGGTTTGTGTCATTCAGTCTGGAGTGAAGTCGACTTTGTGATGGTAAGTTTTAAAAAGAACTGCTGTCTAAAAGGTATCTTCATAATTCTGTATACAGTGGAACCTCTACTTACGAGCACATCAGTGGCCCGGTGGCCTGGTGGCCTGGTGGCTAAAGCTCCCGCTTCACACACGGAGGGCCCGGGTTCGATTCCCGGCGGGTGGAAATTCTGACACGTTTCCTTACACCTATTGTCCTGTTCACCTAGCAGCAAATAGGTACCTGGGTGTTAGTCGACTGGTGTGGGTGGCATCCTGGGGGACAAGATTAAGGACCCCAATGGAAATAAGTTAGACAGTCCTCGATGACGAACTGACTTTCTTGGGTTATCCTGGGTGGCTAACCCTCTGGGGTTAAAAATCCAAACGAAATCTTATCTTATCTTATCACATCCACGTACGAGTTATTTCAAATACCAGCAGTCGATGGGTCAATTTTTGGCTTCCATACACGAGTAAAATTTCCATAAGTGAGTAGACCTCTAGGGGGGTTCCTTGACCCTGGTGAGGGACTCTTGCTCTTGATCTACGGAATTGTATCTCATTTCTTTGTTGGACTATATTATTGAAACTTGGGCAATGTATGATGGAAAGATGCTTCTTAACATAATAATAATAATAATAATAATAATAATCATATGTATAATAATAATAATACGTGTAATAATAATAGTATAATAATGTGATACAATAATAAAAATAGTATAATACATATAATAATAATACATATATAACAATAATGTACACCTACCATCCGACTTACGACCGAGTTTGGTTCAGAGAAACCGGTCGTAAGTCGAAATGGTCGTAAGTCGAACTTTACTACTGAATATCAACATCACATTTTTGTAATGGCTTTATTTTATTGTTTTATTTTTGTATTTCATGTTTTACTTTACTTTTTATGTTGTTAGTACTGTATTTTATACTGTAAGTCGAGTGGTCGTAAGTCGGATGGTAGGTGTACATATAATACTAATCATATGTATAATAATAATAATATGTGTAATAATAATAGTATAATAATGTGATACAATAATAAAAATAATATAATACACCTACCATCCGACTTGCGACCTGCTCGACTTACGACCTGCTCGACTTACGACCTGCTCGACTTACGACCTGCTCGACTTACGACCTGCTCGACTTACGACCTGCTCGACTTACGACCACTCGACTTACGACCGTGTTTTTTATGCCAAATTTCTGGGAAATAAACAAGTATTTGTGTTGTACACAGTGTTTATCCTAAACCTTACAGTATAAAATACAGTACTAACAACATAAAAAGTAAAGTAAAACATGAAATACCAAAATAAAACAATAAAATAAAGTCATTACTAAAATGTGATGTTGATATTCAGTAGTAAAGTTCGACTTACGACCATTTCGACTTACAACCGGTTTCTCGGAACCGAACTCGGTCGTAAGTCGGATGGGGTAGGTGTACATATATAACAATAATGTACTACATAATAATAATTATAATAATAGATGACTTCAAAAGGCCGTCACTAGATGGCATTGTTTACCACAACAAAGAGGGAGTGGTTTTGGCCGCCTCCACCTGTTACATGACATATTTTATGCATTCTAGAGTATATGTTATATTTCTTTGTTATTTATATTGTTTATTATTTCATATTAGATGAACTATGATAGATAAATAAGCCGTAGAGTTGATATTAGCAAAATTATTGAAGTACAGAATTTCATTGGAAAGGATTAATTGCATTTCAATTAATTTAACTTTTTGGGGGTCGGCAGGCCCTCTCAGAGACTTGTTCACAGGGTCGGTAAATTTCAAAAAAAAAATATTTGTTGTTATGAAAAGATAGAGAATCTTTTCCCGATCATAATGACTCCAAAAGTATGAAATTTGATGGAAAACTTAGAGATATGCTCTCGCGAAGTTAGTGGTCTCGACAATGTTTACGCATCGGCGATTTTGCCCACTTTGAGCCCTATTTTCGGCCAATTCCAATGTACTAGTCGACAAAAATCATAACTATTTTGCTAGAACTCCATTTTTTCTATCGAATGAGTACAAGAAACCACCCATTTACCGATTTCAGCTATCTAATACAGTGGTCAGAATTTAGCAATTTTGCCAATTTCACACAAATTTCAAAAGATGCCAATTTCCGAATAGCATCCAGAATAAACAAGAAAGACATTCCTGGCACTAAAATAACATTTCCTCTGTTCATTAGTCACATTTCCACACCCCTCTTACATTCTTTTGCTTTCCACTTTGAATTTTTATTCTCACAAAAAAATAGAAGATTTACTGTTATGCAGACTACTGCATTAGTGTAGAAATGGTATAAGTAATATCAGTGCACTTGTGAAAGAATATTAGACTCACCAGTTGGCGTGTATTGGACACATAACATGATTTGTTTACTTTTGATCTTTGGTAAAAATCGAACATTTCTGCTACTTTGAGCTCAATGTCAAGGTACTTTTCATTGTAAAATCAGTCAAAATCATCTCAATTTCTGTATTATGTCTTCCATTCTATAAAATTAGACCAGGAAAACTAGAATACAACAATAAATACGATATGAAAATACTGTGCAAAGTTGCTCTTTTAATCCAAAAACACGGTTAAAGTTTTTTTTTCTCATTACGCACTGTGTGCTGCAGGATTTTTTTTATACTGCACACAGTGACCACATAGACCCATTCTTTCATATGTAGGCCTACCAGCTTTCTCTTACTAGATTTGACGGCGCTAGAATTTATGCTTACTAGTACGTCAAAAAACCGCGTTTAAGCCGTACTAGTACGGCCAAAGCCCCAAACAGGTTAAATGAGGAAAATTGACTGCAAACGAGCAAATCCAGTTGCGAGCAAGGTCATGGAACGGATTAAGCTTGCAAGTAGAGGTTCCACTGTACTTATTTGGATTTTAGGTTTCGTATTTTTTCTTTATACATTGTAAATCATAATGAGAAAGGGTTAATATAAATTTCATGCTCTGAGAAAGGTTCCTATATTTATTGAATTTTGAGTCCTGCCTACAGTTGCCTTGGCAGGGCCAGAGCAAATGATTTCATGGGCCTTATACGGCCCATGGGCCAAACGTTCCCTACTTCAAGGTTTCTGGCCTAACAAAAAAGCTGAAAGATAGATTACAAATCACCCAGAACGAAATGGTGAGATTCATGACTCACGAAATCGTAATGACACGATTGCAAACAAACCATACCACGGGCGGGCTCTGAACCCGCGGTCAGAGAGTCTCAAAACTCCAGACCGTCGCATTAGCCACTGGACCAGCTAGCCACAATAAGATTAGTCCATTTTGTGTAGAAATATACCTAGTTGGACGAATCTTATTGTGGCTAGCTGGTCCAGTGGCTAACGCGACGGTCTGGAGTTTCAAGACTCTCTGACCGCGGGTTCAAATCCCGCCCGTGGTATGGTTTGGTGAGATTCATCGTTGGCCTGGTCTAAGAGAGCATGTAGGCCAGGATGAATTACAACAACTGGATATTCTGAATGTTGAAGACACAGTAAAACAACTGCTGTTAAATCAAGTTTATAATATTGCTCACAAGCAGAGTCCAGAATATCTTGCTGCCAAGCTTGTCAAGGCTGAGAGCCAAAACTAGTAGAGTACTAAGGGAAGGGAGCACAACTTTTTAGTACCCACAGTAGCATGGTCAGGCTTCAAATGCCTTTTATTGCACAGTAACAAAGGAGTGGAATGGACTGCCTGCTCATGTCAAAGCCTCTCGGCATGATCCAGTTCAGACAGCTGAAACATAAATAATGAATAAAGCTACAGAAAAGGAGAGTGATTTCTTATATAGCTAACATACATGTACCTATTACTGTAATATTCATATACCTATTACTATGATCTGACCCTCTCTTTAATGTTATTGCAAATAACTCAGTTTATTCCTAGTATATCTCCTTTTATTGCAAGTGCTTTTCATGCATTTGAGTTATTTAGCTGTTTTAACTTTTAAGGTTTAAATGATAAGCTATTACAAGAACCCCATTAGAAATAAGTCACTGACTCTTTTGGGTTATCCTGGTTGGTAGTCTACACATGTGCTGCTATGTATGATAATTTATATAATTGTATTTATGTGTACCTGAATAAACTTACACCCTGGTACCTACTTACTGCTAGGTGAACAATGATGGCAGGTGTCTTAAGGAAACATGTCGTGGTGTCTCCACCTGTACTGGGGATCAAACCCCAGATCTTAACCATTTCGGTGTCGGTCCCGTAATGTTACAGCTTTGAAGCCAGTGTCGGTCCCGTAATACTGCGCCAAAATTTTAGCGGATTCAAACCTTGCCAGAGAGCGCTGGTAGGTCTACATGTGAGAGAATTCATCTCTGTGGTCAGTGTGCACAATATAAAAAAATCATGCGGCAAACAGTGCATTATGAGAGAAAAAAATGGTGATTGTGTTTCTGGTTTAAAACAGTGACTTTGCAGTGTATTTTCATATGGTATTTATGGCTGTATTATCGTTTTCTTTATTTCATTTGATAGAATGGAAAATATATTACAGAATGGTTTACAGAGTCACCAGGGCACCTTGTCATCAAGAGTCACCAGGGCACCTTGTCATCAAGAGTCACCAGGGCACCTTGTCATCAAGAGTCACCAGGGCACCTTGTCATCAAGAGTCACCAGGGCACCTTGCCATCGAGAGTCACCAGGGCACCTTGTCATCGAGAGTCACCAGGGCACCTTGTCATCAAGAGTCACCAGGGCACCTTGTCATCAAGAGTCATGAGGATAAACAAGGCCTACCTGCCCCTCAAGGCTCACTACTTCTGCTTCTTTGGTTGTAAGTAGCATCTTTTAAGTTCGCCGTCTGGCATCACTTGTCACCTTCCTTTTGTCAGTGACATTGAAGGCAATCAAAGGCAAAATATTTTTATTTTAGCTACAATCATGGTGATGATGCTTCCAATCTGAAGAACTGGAACTGCCCCTCCTCTTCCTTGGATCAGACATGGTTATCCTCACAGGTGCTCTCTCACCTACAGGTTAAACTCTCATATAATAATGGTAACAATTAAAATAATATAATATAAAAATAGGAGAGGGGAGTTCTTAGATGGAGAATTAGAAGTATTGGGAAGATGGAGGGAATATTTTGAGGAACTGTTGAATGATGAAGATAGGGAAGCTGTGATTTTGTGTATAGGGCAAGGAGGAATAACATCTTGTAGGAGTGAGGAAGAGCCAGTTGTGAGTGTGGGGGAAGTTCATGAGGCACTGAGTAGAATGAAAGGGTGTAAGGCAGCTGGGATTGATGAGATAATGACAGAAATGTTAAAAGTAGGTGGGATATAGTTTTGGAGTAGTTAGTGCTTTTAGTTAATAAATGTATGGTAGAGGCTAAGGTACCTAGGGATTGGCAGAGAACATGCATAGTTCCTTTGTATAAAGGTGGAGGGGACAAAACAGAGTGTAAAATTATAGGGGAATAAGCCTGTTGAGTGTACCTGGTAAAGTGTATGGAAAAATTATTTGTGAAAGAATTAAGAGTAAGACAGAGAGTAGGATAGCAGATGAACAAGGAGGCTTTCGGAAGGGTAGGGGGTATGTGGACCAGGTGTTTACAGTGAAACATATAGGTGAACAGTATTTAGATAAGGCTAAAGAGGTTTTTGTGGCATTTATGGATTTGAAAAAGGCATATGACAGGGTGGATAGGGGGGCAATGTGGCAGATGTTGCGAATGTATGGAATAGAAGGTAGGTTACTGTAAGCAGTGAAGAGTTTTTATGAGGATAGTGAGGCTCAGGTTAGAGTATGTAGGACAGGGAGATTATTTCCCAGTTAAAGTAGGCCTTTGACAGGGATGTGTGATGTCACAATGGTTGTTCAATATATTTATAGGTGGGGTTGTAAGAGAAGTAAATGCTCAAGTGTTGGCAAGAGGTGTGGGGTTAAAAGATAAAGAATCTAATACAAAGTGGGAGTTGTCACAGTTGCTCTTTGCTGATGACACTGTGCTCTTGGGAGATTCTGTTGAGAAGTTTCTGAGGTTGGTTGATGAGTTTGGTAGGGTATGTAAAAGAAGAAAATTAAAAGTGAAAATAGGAAAGAGTAAGGTTATGAGGATAACAAAAAAATTTAGGTAATGGAATAGTGGATATCAGATGGAAGGAGTTTTAAGTGAATGTATTCAGATATTTGGGAGGGGACTTGTCAGCAGATGGGTCTATGAAAGATGAGGCGAATCATAGAATTGACGAGGTGTAAAGGTGAGCGGTGCACTGAGGAGTTTGTGAAGACAAAGAACTTCATCTGTGGAAGCAAAGAGGGAAATGTATGAGTGTATAGTTATACCAGCACTCTTATATGGGTGTGAAGTATGGGTGATGAATGTTGCAACAAGGAGAAGGCTGGAAGCAGTGGAGATGTTATGTCTGTGGGCAATGTGCAGTGTGAATATAATGAAGAAAATCTGTAGTTTGGAAATTAGGAGGTGTGGGGTTACTAAAAGTATTATCCAGAAAGCTGCAGAGGGGTTGGTGAGCTGGTTCAGTCATTTAAAGAGGATTGAACAAAATAGAATAACTTGGAAATCATATGAATTTGTAGTGGAGGGCAGGGTAGGGGTCGGCCTTGGAAAGTTTGGGAGGGGTAAAGGAAGTTTTGTGTGCGAGGGGCTTGGACTTCGAGCAAGCATGTGTGAGCATGTTAAATTGGAGCGAGTAGAAACAAATATTTTTTATGACGACATGCTGTTGGAGTGTAAGCAAGGTAACATTTATGAATAGATTCAGGGAAATCAGCAGGCTAGACTTGAGTCCTGGAGATGGGAAGTACAGTGTCTGCACTCTGAAGGAGGGATGTTATGTTACAGTTTTATAACTGTAGTCTAAGCATTCCTCTGGCTAGACAGTGATGGAGTGAATGATGAGAGTATTTTTTCTTTTATGGGTCACCCCGCCTTGGTTGGAAACAGCCAAAGTGTCAATTAAAAAAAATTACCATTAATATAATAATAATATTTCAGGTACATCACCAATCATACCATTCCTGGTGGTGATTGGCGTTCAGCTTGGCATCCCGGTGTCAGTGATGGGCACCTTCTCAGCTGTGTTGTTGATACTGGTGATGCTGATGAAGCCAGTGGTGGCGACTCTCGCCGATGCCTTCCCTTCATACCGCCACACCATCTTCCTGCTGATGTTGGGGCTGATGGTGACATGCTACAGCTCCCTGGCATTTGTGCCCCCCTTGAGGGCAGAACCAAGGGTGGCAGGGCAGCTAGTGGACAGCACCGCCCAAGTGGCGGTGTTGCCAGTGACTGATAAGCCTGGTCTGGCAAAAAGCCCATTGCTACTGAGTCAGGACGACGGTAATTGGAACGAATTATCAGAGTCATCGAATCTAATGAATTGCCCACCTTTAAAAATAATAGGCCTGCTGCTCCATGCTAAGCAGATCCCCCTCCAACCCTTCATGACCCACCTCTGCTTAAAACAAATCAAGATTTAAGCCTCTATTGTCCTACTTGGTAGATTTTTCCACTCCACCATTCTGTCCCTTAACCATGGCTTTTCTTTCTAAATCCAAAGTAATCCAATTTTAATATGTTGAGTCACTTGATTGGTCACATTTGGTAGTTATTGTATTTATGTCTGTTATCCCATGCTGGTCTACTCCTTCCTCCTGTTAATTGCCATTGGTCTGTCTCCAGGAGGGTGCTACATAGCCCTGGCATGGGACTGCATAGCCACCTGCCAAGACCCATGGTCGTGCTACCTGGGTAACAAGACCACCCCAGACCTGAGACTGTCACTCCTGCAGAAAGACCATGGTTTAATGCTGTCAGACTTGCAGGGAGACCACAATCTAACACTTCTCCACTCTGGTCGTGGCCTCCAGGAGAAAGAGGAGGAGGTCATAGGACACTGGTATAAGCTAGATGGAGTCAATGCTACCTGGGATGGCCTGTCAGCGAATGTCAGGTAATGACTGAGTCATGGTCACTGTGTTTTCTTCTAAACCCTTAAACTGTCCAAATGTAAATCTACGTTTGTACGCATAGTGCTCCGAACGTAGATCTACATTTTATTTTTCAGTCCTTCAAATTTGGTGCAATAGGCTTGAGTCGCCTAGACATGAAAGAATGTGTCTGTGTACTCAGTGTGCGCAGTAATAAAAAAAATCAGTAACCACTTACTACCTTGTGGGAGCACCAGTTCAATTGAGCGCCAGCTAGATCATATAGTGTGGCAAATACCAGGGATTCACTGATGCCATGCCGCATTAACACTCCCCTTTTCAGAGAAAAGTAAAAATAGGTTAGATAAATACATGAGTGGGTGTGGGTGGGTGTGAGTTAGACCTGACTAGCTTGTGCTACTAAGTTTGATGTTGTGCTCCTTCCTTCAGTGGATGTGACCTGACTAGGTGGGTCATTGGTCTGAGTCGTGGGGGGTGACATGGACCTGCCTCACATGGGCCAGTAGGCCTGCTGCAGTGTTCCTTTTTTCTTATGCTCTTATGTATTCGGCAGACTGGCAGGTTGGCCGGCTGACTGGCTGGCTGGCTGGCTGCCTTTGGCTGTCTCTCTGTCTATATCTCTGTATGTCTATATCTCTGTCTATCTACATCTCTGTTTATCTATATATCTGTCTATCTCTGTCTCTCTCTCACATGTATACATAAGTACAGTTACTATACATAGTGTAAATTACCCAGGGTAACCCAAAAGTTCCAGGCATAGATAGACAGACAGACAGACAGACATGTTTGTGTGTATCAGTGAAAACAAGTGAAGCCAGGGTTCCCCTAGTGCCCATTTATTGAAGGTCACTGAGCTGTCAGCAGTTGTCATAACACCATTCTTCAAGGAGTTTGATATATGCTCCAGGCACACAGGCAGACAGAAAGATAAGCAGTGCTAGACAGATAAGCAGAGACAGACAGACAGGCAGACAGATAGACAGACACACAGATAGACAAGACATGTTTGTGTGTAACAGTGATAACACATACAGCGAGGGTTAGCTGGAGCAGTGGGCATTTATCAAATGTCACTGGGCTGTCAACAGTATTGGGCTGTCTTTCATAACAACATAAATGTCACTGGGCTGTCAACAGTATTGGGCTGTCTTTCATAACAACATGCTTCAGGGTATATGCCAGGGTATCTAAAACATTGCTGGGACCTATAAATACTTTGTATATATGTGATGAATGGTTTTGAAAACCGACAAGTTAAAGATTGAGACACTTAAGCAACATGTGGGAATCTTTATTCAGGAAGCGTTTTGCCACACAGTGGCTTCATCAGTCCAAAACAAAGCAGAAGATGTAAGGAGAGGAGGAGTTGACGTAATCAGTCCCTCGGCCGAGGGACTGATTACCTTAAACTACGTTTCCTAAATAAAGATTCCCATATATTGCGTAAGTGTCTCAATCTTCACTTTGTATATATTTCTAGACAATAGTAAATAACCCAGGCAGGTGTAAATGTTCACCTGTCAATGTGATTGTTACTATTTGAGCACTATTTCAGTACATAATATTAGTGTCAGAACAAGGATCGGCTGTGAAATTATAAGAACTATTATAAATTGTAATTATCAGAACATAAAAAATATATAAATTAAAATAAAAATGACTAAAAAAGGTATATTCGCAACACTTGTGCAAGTGGCAAGAGTTGATTGTTGCCGTCAGGTGAGCATCCAGAGAAAACTTCGCAGTCTTATATCTCAGTAAGTACTGATCCTAAATTTTTTTTATCCTATAATATGTAGAAAAATGTGCTCTTCATTTTAAAAAAAAATATTTTTTTTATTTTTAAAATATTTGGAGCGCTACGCGAGTGAACGTAGATTTATGCTTGGACAGTTTAAGGGTTAACAGACCATCCATTAAAATTACTTTGCACTCTTCAAGACCAGAGTTGTAATAAAGTTGGTACAATTACCGACAATATGTAAAGTAAAAGGACACAAGTGCAACTAATGTGACATTTTATTGTGGCAACGTTTCGCTCTCCAGGAGCTTTATCAAGCCATTACAAACAATACATGGACACAGAGGGTATATAAAGGCTCAGAGTGAGGTGCAGTACTAGTGAGGTACCATTTACATGTTCACTAGTGGTAGTAGTAGTAGTAGTAGTGACAAAAGTAATACAATATGGTAGAGCAATTAATTCGTACATGTGAAAAAGGATATAAAAGCTATTACTTGGGTAACATAAAAATAGGTTGGACAAATATAGACTGGAATGAGGCAGCTTGTTTCATTCATTCACCAAACATTCACTGAGTTACATTTTCCTTCCTTTTTCATCAAAGACTGCAAGAAAAGAGCTCTTCAGATCATTAATTCTCCACACACCAACACCACTCCCAGCAAAGTTATAATTCTTCCCAACAGCCAGGTTGCACTGAACGTCTCAAAAGTACTTTCACAAGCTAACACCAGAGTCGCCATCGCTTCTACCACTTCAATAAAGGATATAACCAGGACAAAATCCAAGCTCCACGAACCAGTCAATGCAGGAGTTTACACTATACCCTGTGGAGGCTGTGACAAGATTTATGTAGGTGAAACAGCAAGAAACCTCGACACCCGCCTCAATGAACACATTTACGCATGTAGGAGTGATAACTTGAACAACGCCTGTGTATAAAACCGAAATTCCACCAATCATCTCATGAAATTCAGAGACGCCCAATTAGTGATTAAAGAAACTAATTTCCGCAGACGCAAGTGCCTCGAATCAGCGCTGATCGCTGTTTCTAATACAGTTAAACAAAACAACGGCAGCTTCACCATCTCTGAAGTCTTAACAAGAATCCTCCTGAAAACAGTAAACCCTGCCATCACATAGTCTCTCCTGTTATACTACACAAAGCACATTACAGAGAGTGAACACTGAAACAAGCTGCCTCTTTCCAGTCTATATTTGTCCAACCTATTTTTATGTTACCCAAGTAATAGCTTTTATATCCTTTTACTCATGTACGAATTAATTGCTCTACCATATTGTATTACTTTTGTCACTACCACTACTACCACTACTACTATCTACTACTACCACTAGTGAACATCGAAATGGTACCTCACTAGTATTGCAACTCACTCTGAGCCTTTATATACCCTCTGTGTCTATGTATTGTTTGTAACAGCTTGATAAAGCTCCTGGAGAGCGAACGTTGCCACAATTAAAATGTCACATTAGTGCACTTGTGTCCTTTACTTTACACAAGGCCAGAGTTGCAGCCTGCATTCTATAAGTTGTGTGACTGACTCACTGACTTTTGTACAGACTTGTCTACCTGACTAATGACTGACTGATTACTCAATTCTTCTCACGTTATCTTAAAATTACCAGTCATGTTTCAACCATTAACTCTGACCTTTTACTACTATTATTGCTACTACTACTACTACTGCTGCTGCTGCTATTACTATTGCTGCCATAAACATCTATTCCGTACCTGGTACACAGCCATACACAATTGTAGAGCAGATTAATTAGGAGGTGGCACAGCTATATACAGTGGTACCCTGAGTTTCGTACAGCTATATACAGTGGTACCCGAGTTTCGTTACAGCTATTTACAGTGGTACCCCAAGTTTTGAAAGCTATATACAGTGGTACTCCGAGTTTCATACAGCTATCTACAGTGGTACCCCGAGTTTCGTACAGCTATATACAATGGTACCCCGAGTTTCGTACAGCTATATACAGTGGTACTCAGAGTTTCGTACAGCTCCCAACTCGAACAGTTTTATAAGTGTATTATTGTCTGTGCTTTTGTTAGCGTATTTTTGGGGGTCTGAAACAGACTAATCTAATTTACATTATTCCTTATTGGAACAGATTCGTTCAGTAACGGCACTAACAGCCATCTGGAACGAAGAAAGTTCGAAACTCGGGGTACCACTGTATTACTCTGATGCACTCTACTTGCACTAGGAATTAGTATGGTGAATATATATTTGCTAAATTTAAATACAAAAAGCTAAAAAACTTAACAGTTGGAGCAATCTACGGAGAACCTCACTCCAATATTAACTCAGTTAGTGAAAACCTGAGAAACACAATAACTGACACAAAGATAAATAAACACCACCTAGTACTTACACGTGACTTATATATAAACCTCATCCATCACCACAACCCACATGTAACTGAATTCACAAACACTATGAGCAACTGCTTACTTGTGCCAACTATAACAAATCCTACAAGAATCTCCGAGTCCAGTGTCTCGTTACTTCAATTCAGATGTTTATTTCCTTGCAAAGTTTACAAAGTGTGGTTTACAAGCTATAAGATATTAATTACAAAGACGGCCATTAGCATGCCTAGGCATTTCGGGCAGGTTAATACTAATTCAGGCTCTGATCCACCAGGAGGCCTGGTCACAGACCGGGCCGCGGGGGCGTTGACCCCCGGAACTCTCTCCAGGTAATATTGATATGGGTTATGGAGCAGTACATTTGAACATCGTCTTCTTTCAACAAACCGGCCGTATCCCACCAAGGCAGGATGGCCCAAAAAGAAAAACAAAGTTTCTCTTTTTAAATTTAGTAATTTATACAAGAGAAGGGGTTACTAGCAACTTGCTCCTGGCATTTTAGTCGCCTCTTACAACACACATGGCTTATGGAGGAAGAATTCTGTTCCACTTCCCCATGGAGATAAGAGGAAATAAACAAGAACAAGAACTAGAAAGAAAATAGAAGAAAACCCAGAGGGGTGTGTGTATATATGCTTGTACATGTATGTGTAGTGTGACCTAAGTGTAAGTAGCAGTAGCAAGATGTACCTGAAATCTTGCATATTTATGTGACAGAAAAAAGACACCAGCAATCCTCCATCATGTTTAAAACAATTACAGGCTTTCCTTTTGCGCTCACTTGGCAGGACGGTAGTACCTCCCTGGGTGGTTGCTGTCTACCAACCTACTACCACAGGACGGTAGTACCCCCT